CTCAATCATGAGGACTTCTATACTGTCGAGTGCCAACAAGGCCAGATCTTTAGCAGCCACATATTCTGACCTGATATCACCGCCAGTTGACCTTGAACTAAAGTAATTACAACCTTGAACATATGGATGCCCCTCAACCTCAATCTTGACATCAGATTCATACTGAGAAGAGGCAGACCTATGGCAACAATTGGAAACAAGTTAGCAATTGAAACAAGATAAGAAAGCATATCTAGGCCTTGTGTAGCTCAATCCCAACTTTAGGTAGTAAGAATAAATGCAAATCCATCAAACCTGTTTTTTCCACCCCCTTCCAATAAGTTAAGTATACTGAAATTAAAATTCATGATTATAGAAATGTAGCTTCAAGAAAAGTCATGTCACAAAGTAGATTCGTTTGGTTCATAAAAGTATAAAACAACTTCCACATAATTAAATGTAAAAACAAAATAACTATTGGCAAAAAAAAAAAAAAAAAAAAAAAAGGTACCAATTGTGAGGGGAGAAACTTTTGTTAGAGATATCAATGGGAAATCCAGCTTACCAACCCTCTCTTAGTAAGCAACTTTCCATGTTCTAAGACAACTTACTCCAGAAATACAAGTATTAACTTCCATGGAAGTTAGCCAAATAAGTAAACTTGAAGTTATATGGGCATTTAGACTTTTACACTAAACCAAACAAGGCCTAGATGATGAAAGGAGCAAGCAAAGCATCAATAAGCAATTCACAAACCTTTCGGACACTCAGCATAGTATGAAGCCTCCCATGCTATTTGCTGCATAATTTTTCCAGAGAGATCTTCCATAGGCAATAAACTATGCACTTTCTTGGACAGTCTCTCACAGCCAACCGATGCCAAACACTGCAATATCTCCATGATATCAGAACCCAATTCTGTGGGTAGCACGAGAGTCTTCGACGTTTGCATGATCAAGCTCCCACAATTGTTAGCATTTTTGAAAAGCAAAGGGCTCATAGACCGCAGATATCCTCCATCATTTAAGTGAAGCAATGGTTCCAGGCCTTCTGCAAGGGGAGGCAATCCTATTGGTTCTTCAGGTGGTACAAAAACAGGACTCCCAAATCCACCAGTGCTATAATAAGGGGAGCTCTGGAAGGCTTCCTCATTTAAACCCCATCTTTGCATCAAGGTCTGAGTTTCCAAGCGTTCAAGGCTTTTTGCTTTCAGTTTATTTCTCAATGCCTGTTGTAAACTTTCATTCACTTCAAGGCCTGCAGTATCAATGACAGGCGAGTGATCTACACTCTCAAAATTATATTCTGAAGAGGATACACCAAAAGCTGCAAAGTCATAATCAGACACATCATCTTGTACATCAGCACCCAAGAAGAGGCTACCTGAAGTCATCATATCTTCTTCAAACTGTCTTAAAAGGCGTTCTCGAGGAGATTCAAGCCCGCCATTGAAACTCCGGTTTGAGGGAGTACGCAAGTCTTGCAACAGATTACAGAAATCATCTGCCACAGTTCTTTCAAAGTCATTTAAGCTCAATGATTTGACCAGATTACTTCCTTTATACTTGGCTTTAATCTCAACAGACATATCATCCTCTGACGTTTCTAATTCATCAGACTGTGAAATAAACATCTTAAGCAAATCTAAAGCCTCTTCTTCAAGATATGACTCTTTAATATCAACACTGTATTTATCTATAGGAGCCTCTTCTGAAACACAATTCAAGGCTTCATCCCAATTAGCAACCTTTGTCTCCTCCTCTGAGCATATCTCTTCACCCTTGAAAATCTCAGCCACATCAATTATTTCTACAGCTGAGGCTTCCAAGTCTGCAGGGATACATTCATCCAACTTTTTCGCTTCCTTGGGGGAGCACTCTGATTCTACTCCCTTTTCTATCACTGTAAACTCAGCATCATCATGTTTGGTTCCACAAAAATCTTTTACAGAACTAGATAATGAGTTTGGACCCAACTGAATCGACTCCAACTGTTCAATAACCTTATCAAACTTTGTCAGACTATCAACCCTCCCTTCCTCAAGCTTACCATATAGCATATCAATGGAATTTGAGAAATCATATTCATCCTTCGGCCCACCAATCTTTGCATCCAGGTATTGAGATGAATAACAAGAAGCATTATTTAAGCTACTCGGAACACTCCCCACCCGCCTAAGTGAGGTATTGCCTCTGACAGAACCAGAATCAACAGAGCTCATCCTGTTCAATTCATTTCCCTCCAAGCTAAGAGCGAGAGGTGGTTTTATGCAACTACCTGATTCAGCTAATCCATCCTTTGTAACCAAAAACCCAAAACTAACATGCAAAGTAGCACCATTCGCCTTGCCTGCAAGCTTAAAGCTCGTCGACCATTTTCCTGAGCATCTATCTTGCTCCAACTCCTCCAAAGTAAGAGGAAGCAATCTTGTAAGATCAACCCAATGCTTCCCAATATCTAACCCTTCTGTCCCAACTATCGACGCATATAACAAAAAATGCTTAGGCTCATACTTCACAAAACCCCCATGACCATTTTTAGAGCCACTAACAGTACATTTACTCATCAATGTCTCCTCAAACTCAACCATGCCATTCGAAACCCTCGACGGACGGGTCTTAAGCACAACATCCTTCCTCTTCCAATGCACACTCAAACAAATATCTTTGAAATCCAACATCAAATTCTCAATACAATGAACATGACAAAAGAAATAACAAGTAAATTTCCTCTGCCTAATAATGTGGGACAATGCCTTAAAGGGTTTCCAACCCCAAATTGATGAATGTTGCTTATGCTCCTCCTTCAACCACTCTTTCTCTCTATCAAACCCTGGTTTCGGGTTCGATTTTGGTACACTAAAATGCGATTTAGGTCCATAATTAGAGTAAGAAATCACAGAATTTTCATGGGTTTTGTTCATTGAATAAAGGGCATTACTAATCTCTTCAATATCACGCAACAATTCACCATCACTTGAATCATTATGTATAGAAAACCCAGATTCAGACATCTTTTCTCCCATGAAACAAAATCTTTAAACTACCCAGAAAAGCATAAATGTAATTATCAATCAAATCTTCTAAGTACTACAAAAAATATGTACAAAAACTTTGGATTATACAGTGAAAAAGAGAGAAAAAGATGCTTACTTGAAATGGGTCCAAATTTGAGAGCAAATTTAGAATGAGAGAGACTTTTTTGGAGTAAGGTAGGTGGGAAGGTTCCGATTCTTCTAGCTTTGGGGGCTATATTGGATGATTAATAGTAATTAAAGAAGCTTTAATGTCATGTTTTATGTGATTAAATCCAGGAATTGGTGCTTAAGTTCATAGAATTAATTAATTATTCAGTATACTGCTAGAGAATAGAAGTTTTGTCTTTGCTTTATCTTTTATTTTTATTTTTATTTTTATTTTTATTTTTAATTATTAAAATCTTTTTGAAAGTTTTTTGATTAATTATTTAGGAGTAATTTGATAGTTTGGTTAAAGGTGAGTGGATGGTCGGCAATTAATACCTAATTTTTTTTTTTTTCCTTTTATTTTGGGACATGAAAATGTCAATAGACATATTAATTTACTTAATCAAAATTTAAAACATAACATCATACCTAATACTTTATGGCACCTCTTTAATCCAAATTAAACATACCTTATGAGTTATGACAATTATAAAAGTTTAAGGACAGTTTGGTACGTGGGATTTTGGTGGGGGTGAGGGGTTGAGAATTATAATTTTAATCTTTAATTCCTTATTAATTGCAATTATGGCAGTGGCGAAACTGGCGATGACATAACTCATGCTTGGTACGAAATATATATTACTCGTATATATTATGTAGTAGGGGCTTCAAAATTTATTTCAAACTAGGCCAAAAGCAATTATTATGGTAAATAGGTTTTACTTTATGATATCCAGTCTAATCTAATTCAAACCTTTAAAAATCCTTTATAAGTTTAAAAACTAGTTGGTGGCCTGGGCGTTGCCCCGGGTCATTGCATTACATGTGTTTATGTAAAAAATGAATTAAGCGAATTGTTGAACTATGGAATGAGATGAGATAATATCTGTATTGGATCTGTGAACTTGACTATAAATTAAGCTAAGCTAATAGTTGGCCCCTCCCTTCACTCTTAAGAGGTTAATAGTGTCACCCTACAACAATTATAACAGACTACTATACCCTTGCTCATCATCATGTATATGGATGATAATTGTTTACCTTTTCATTATCGCATTGGTTGTTTAGACCCTCCTTTTATTGATCTCTATGCAATCTTCCTCTCCATAATAGCACCCCAATGAATACTACAAAGTATATTAGTCGTTCTCTTGATGATCTCTCTCCTCTAATAGTGGAAGCTGACATATTCTATATATTCTAATATTGTATATAAGGGTTGTTTCGGGGTTTTTTATGTGTCCTGCGGAGAGTTACAACACCTAGACTGACCTCCAGCTGTCTGTACCTGCAAAACAACGAAACTCCCGTGGGAGTTCCGCCTCCGACGATCAAGTTAGAACGTGTGTAAGGAGAGTATTGCGAAATGTAAATGTGTTTTCCGGCTGCCTGAGGCAACCTCGAAATCTGAGTGTTTCACTCTCTGATTTGAGGTTGGAGGAGTAATCATCATGATCCAAGGTGAATTCAATGTGAATGAATCTCTCTCTCTCTAAAATTTTTGTGATCCTTTACAACTGATGCAAATGGTTTGTATTTATAGAGATTTGGAGAGGAGCTTGATGGCTTAGTGACACGTGTCACTTTAGCATAGGCCCATTTGTCAGGGGTATTTTAAATACCCCTAAACAAGGGTGATTAGTAATGAAATATTTGACAGAAATGGATGATTTATATAAAAGGGTTTAGTGACTGTAATGAAGTAATTAATTGAGATTGGATGGTGATGTTATTGACGATACGTTAAAACTTAAAAAAATAAAAGAATTATAGTACTTCGTATGAAGGTGAAAAGTTGAATATATTCTGGAGATTTTATTTTTGGTCAGTTACAAACTTAGTTAGTATGAAAATAAATAATAGCTACTCCATAGTTAAAAACTTAATAAGGCCTTGTTTGGTTGACATGGGAATTAAATTCCCAAAGGAAATTACATTTCATGGGAAGTAATTTCCTTCATGACATTCCTAGGAATTTCCTAAATTTGTTTGGTTAGCAATGTGGGAATTTAGAAATCCCGTGTATTTTGATTGACTTAGGGGAGACTAGGTTATTTACTTCCCTTGTTTTGTGGGAAGTTGAAATTCCCATGAATTTCCACTTTCCCATTTTTGTTTTTTTGTGTCATCCAAACAACTCCTCAGTTTGTCAAATCCCATGAATTTTCACTTCCCCTATTTTATGTTGTCAACCAAATAAGGCCTAAGTATGAGAATAAAAAATTAGCTACTCCATCTAATTGGACAATGTCAGTTACAAATATATTTTGGGTCATTCATGAAAACCATTGAATTATTTAGCGTAAATCAAGGTAAAAATTAAATGTATGATAAATGAATCAAGTAATGACTTAATGGTGGTAAAAATTGCTATTGTTATCACACTGACATATAATTGCTTATGTGGTGCTTGTCAATTACTAAAAATGACATATGGCAGAATGATACTCCTTACCTGGAGTTTTAATAATACTATTGATTGATAAATGCTATCACTTAAAATGATTTTTAGGCGGGCCCAAAAGGCCAAAAGAGGGCAAAGGGGGGTTCAGTACATTGACAAATGCCAATAACGTGGCCTGGTGCATCACCACACTTATCTATCCAAACACCACAATTCTACATTCCAATCAGGCAACAAAAGATAAGAGATACAGAGAAACAAAGCAGTGAAAATACAGGAGAAAAAATGGAGGAAATGAAGCAAATGGCATACAAAGCAACTACCAAGCTAATGCTAGGCGCACATGAAAGAAACTTGTTGCCTGATGCTCTTATTAGACGCCTTACTCGCCTTCTCTTAGCCAGTCGCATTCGTTCTTCCTACAAATCTTCTTCTCAACTTCAACTCTCTGATCTTCTCCACTTTGTTCATTGTAATGTTTTCTTGCCTCTTTTTTATTTATAATTTTGTAATAGCGGTTTAAATTACACTGTCAACGTGACTATTAATGATTGACGGAAAGAAAAAATGAAAAATGGTTGTCTAGCATATGTTTTTATATGGTATGAGTTTTTGTTTGAATGATACTAGTAATCATGTAGTGTTATGCTGGTACATTTTCCAAATGATGGAACATTTGGTTATCTAACTGTATTTTGGAATGTGGGTGTTATTGATCTTTGGATGGTTAATCATGTGATAGAGGTAATTAACAATTTTTGGATGATTGAATGTCTAACTATGAAAATATATCCCCGTTCTTGTAGAGATAAGGCTTATGTGTAATGTCCATTAATCTCGTCTTTGCATTGCTTAGAGAAGAGTCAATTTCTCTGTTGAGTCTGTTCGATTTTAATAGTCACATGTGCTACCCTTGCATTTTCTAAAAAGGCTGTTAGTTAAATGTTAAGGAGATGATATATAACACACATTGACAAATTATGCTTGTCTAAGGCTGTTAGGAATCTGATTAAACGACAATTAAATTCAGAAGGCAGGATGTAGCCTTGGAAGAAGACTGCCCTAACCTTCGTGTATTTTGCTTCCACCAATTTTGCAAAGTATGTGTCGGATTGCTGATCAATTAAGCAGTAGTTGATTAACTATATCTTCTTTTGCAGCGTTAAGAGAAATGCCAATAGCAATTCAGACTGATAAGGCGAAATCTCAACACTATGAGCTGCCTACTTCTTTCTTCAAGCTTGTTCTAGGAAAGCATCTCAAATACAGGTGAAAATAAAAAAAAAAAGTTGTATTCTTTTTGACAATGTAGTATGGTAGTAGCACTACAAAGATGTGCATCTTTGAATTGATGATTGTCTGTTCCCATTCATTTGTTCTGCCTCTTGGTTGCAGTTGCTGTTATTTTTCTGACAAGCAGACAAACCTAGATGATGCAGAGAAAGCAATGTTAGAATTATATTGTGAGAGGTCAGGGATACAAGATGGTCATACTGTTCTTGATGTTGGATGTGGCTGGGGGTCGCTTGCTTTGTACATTGCACAAAAGTACAGTAACTGCAGGGTTACCGGAATTTGCAATTCAGTAACGCAGAAAGCACACATTGAGGATAGGTGCAGGTGCGTCTTTCATTCATCTTCATCTTACACATATTCCTTGCAAATCTTTGTCCTGCAATTAAGTTAACATATCTAAACAGTGCAGACTAAATGTTAACAGGACGGAGGAGGGTATATAACTAGAACAAGCTCTAAGGTGTGCATATTTTTATGTTTCAGGGATCTTCAGATGAAAAACGTTGAGATCATAGTAGCAGATATAAGCACATTTGACATGGAGGGATCTTATGATCGGATACTGTCTATCGAAATGTTTGAGGTATGACTAACAGTATTACCTAGGAATACTAGTACTATTCATCAGTAAGTTAGATATATCATAATAGCAAAGTTTAGGATTTTGATATGATTTGTTGATGATTAATTCTACAGCACATGAAAAATTACAGAGATCTTCTAAAGAAGATATCCAATTGGATGAAACCTGATGGCCTTCTATTTGTTCATTATTTCTGTCATAAAGCTTTTGCATACCACTTTGAGGTACTTTCATCTTGTTTAGACATACTGTTCTTTCTTGTATATATTTACTTGCTGAGTTTCAATGAGCTACTGCATATTTGAGTCGGCTATGAAGTATTGAGAACTTTGTTCACACACTTGTATGCAGGATATTAATGATGATGACTGGATCACTCGGTATTTCTTCACTGGAGGCACAATGCCTGCTGCAAATCTGCTCCTGTACTTTCAGGTTAGCCTGTGGAAACCATAACTTATTACTGCAACACAAAGTCTCTTATTTGCAACATTTCTTTCGTTTGCTCATGAATGATCATTAGCTTCATTACTACTTGTATCATACTACCTTCCAGATTTTATTGTCAGATTGCTAACCTATACTTCGTATTACACTGTTATAATGACAATTATTATCTCAACAAAAAATTTGAGGGAACAATGATTTTCGAGTAAAGCGAGTATTAAGCATGAACTGGTCTATCTTGATTATTGCCAATCCCCTGTCTCTCAGTTGGAAATTGTAATCATATTACTTTTCTGTCATTCAAACACCTCGATTTATCTGGTTTCTGTCTGAGATTGCCATTCACCATCATTTTAGCAACAGCAACCACCTAATACAAATCCCATTGTTTGCTAAGTCTAATATTAAGGTTTAGATCTGTGCAGTCTTGATCCCATATTCTCATCCTTATAACACATTACAGAGTCAATTATATCTAGCTGCTTATGGGTGATCTCATTGCAGGATGATGTCTCTATTGTCAACCACTGGCTTGAAAATGGGAAGCATTACGCGCAAACAAGGTTAGAAAGCAAGATTGACAATATTTAACTGCAGCTTAAGCCTACCAAGAAATTTAACTTACCAAGTTTCATCACAAGTTGGCTTAGATTTATAAATTAAGATAAGTAGAGAGAAGCATGTTGATAGACCTTTTTATCATTTTTTCAGCGAGGAGTGGCTTAAAAGAATGGACCGTAACTTGGCTTACATAAGGCCAATAATGGAGTCGACTTATGGCAAAGACTCAGCTGTAAAGTGGATAGTATATTGGAGAACCTTCTTCATAGCAGTGGCTGAGTTATTTGGGTACAATAATGGGGAAGAATGGATGGTTGCTCATTTCCTATTTAAGAAGAAATGAGGCTGATCTTGCAGCTTTTTTATCCTCATCCCAGCAGCATCAATGAGCAATCATCGGAAAGGGAAGATGAAGCTGTTTTTTTTTTTTTTTTTTTTAAACGTCGTAGTAACATTTAACTTTCCTAAGAGTTCTCACAGTGATGAGTCGCAGTGTATGGGGTCCAGGAAAGGAGCA